CACCCGTGCTAACAGTTGTCCATGGCTGTACCCGGCTGGCGGCATGAGACCTCCAGCCGACGAGCCACCCCCAAACGGCAAACAATATACACCACATGTCTTCGCCACCTTAGAATAAACCCTAGTGGGCTCCACACCGACCAATGGGTACATCGACAGCAGGTCTGCGCCGATGAAGCCATTTCCTATGAACTGATATGAAAACGTGAGTTGACCTTTCAGCTTCCCGTTGGGATTCCTCACTTGGTAGCTCACGAACTTCCTCCCGCCTTCCCAACCATCAAAGAGCTCTTTCACGGGCACGCTGACCCGACCTGTGGTTTTGTCCCCCAAAGCCCTTCTGCAGACGAGCTTGAAGTCGAGGAGGAGGCGGCTTTGCTGCAAAGACGCCTCCTCCACCGTGAACTTCATCGGGAAGCCCCAAGTCGGGTTGTTTCCCCCGGCAGTGTCGGAGGGCATTTTGGTCTTTTGCATCGAGTACTTACCACCGCCCGAGATTGAGACCACGGTATGCACATCCATTTCTTGATATGAGGTTTACTTTGTGCAGGTTGAAGGTGTATTAAAGTGTTATTCTCAAGGTTTCATAATGATCCATCTTTTGTATATTAGAAAAAAAAAAATCAATCGTAAAAATAATGGAGTATAAATGTTAGGATTTTTAGTCTTTATAGAGAAGAGTAGTGAGTGTTGTACGTATAGAGAGGGATATGATATATATATAAATAAAAATATAGAATTGCAGGGTGATTGTATCTTTGCAGACTATAGATAAATGTTGGCATATCTCCAAATTTGAAGTAGAAAGTTAATGCGCTTTTTGGGCCTTACTTGAGAATTGCTGCAATTGCAACTAACAATCATATAGTTGAAAGTTTGCTACAAACTGAAATGTCAGCTCATTGACTACTTGTTATTGGAAATGAACTTACTTGACATTGACATTGATTGTTATGAGAAAATCATAAAAAAAAAATTATGTATTAGGTAAATTGCAAGATTGTTATGAGAAAATCATACAAAGAAAAAAAACGAGGAGACATTGCAATATTAATTTGTTAATACCTTTCGGGCATTTGATCGAGCGCCTTGCTGCCGAAAAGTTGGGAGATGGATGTATATGAACTCCTTAATGTAGCCCACCAAAATATATTCTGCACATAAAGCCAACAACATCAGCAACAGTTTCTCAAGCATTCCCCATGTAGCAGCAAATCGAAAAAAAAAAAAAAAAAAAACTAATAGAGAGAGATGTAATGAAAGGTATAGAGAGTCGTACCTCTCTCTGGTCTTGATGTTTGAGAAATAATGAACAGGGCATGTCTTTTATAGGTGAAGTCTTGCATGAAATTAGAAAATATCTTCTGGGATTTTCCAAACTGAAAGAAAATCTACGCGCTAGTTTTTGTTGGAAGTTATTAAGGTTATCTCGTAGTTTATCTCGTGCATTTGGAAAGTTATTATGGTTGAATTGATTTTACAGAAGTTGGAATGACTGAGATGTCTTGCCATGTTATTTGTTCAGAAATTACGTTAGTTGAATGAGTTCCTTACCTGCTTAGAGTTAAGAAGCTAATGAGGAAGCAGGAATAGCAACAGGAAGAGCTCATAGGCGGCCGATAGGAATCTCCCAGATAGGAATGCCCTACATAGTAAACCCTCCTAACTAACCCCGACACAGGATCGGAAGTGCAGCCCCCTTCAAGCTTAGTGAATTGACCGCTAACTGATGTGATTTACCTTGAGGAAAGAGTTTGAAACAAATTATATGTGGGCTTGTATTTTCAATATCTCTGTACATGTGAGCTTTATGTACTTGGAAACTAAATACTTATCAAAAAGACTTACCATACTTGAAGACTTACCATACCTCGGATATAGAGATTGCTGAAGCACCAATGGAGGAGACAGAATTCACATACTTATCGGTCAAAGATTGAGTCAAAGAAAATGGGTACTAAAGATCTGATTCTCTGGCCGGCTGGACATTTGCGGCCAACAAAGCGCTTGGTAGTGAATTAGAGTATACATGCTGCTAAAGGATTATAAGAAAGTGAGAAACACAGAACAAAAAAATAAAACAAAAACAATACAAATCAAGGTGAGATCATCAACAACAAACAAACTTTAGTTCAGATCAGGAAGAAGTGTACTTAAACAAAGGCAGAAATCACAGGTGCCGCCAAAAGAAGAAGAAGAAAAAGAAAGGGAAGGAGAAAAACAAACTTACACAACATAATCCACAGGAAGACGGTGAAAGCTATTGTCAAAACATGAAGTTTAAAAGAAAGAAATAAAGAACGAAAGATAAGCTACAGATACAGAAGATCAGTACACTAACAAGATTGTAAAAGTTTCAGAAATTTCCATCTCAAAAGAACACATAATACTTATGGAACTGTAAGAAATACTCAGAACTGCTCCTCCCAAATGCAGCCTTATGTATAAAGTTGATCATCTAAAACCTAAACCAAGATCAGAAAATATTTACCATAACATTTGAAAAGGGAGCTGGACTTTGCATCTGGGAACTTGTCCGATTGAAAGCAGCATTTAAACGCTGTGCATCGTCGAAGGAATAACCCGAATCCGATGAAGGAAAAGGGTACTGATTTCCATGCGCCACATCAGCACTCTCAGGTCTCGATTCTTCTAGCTGTGGAGAGCAGGAGATGCATCGTGGCTCCCAACAGTAGCACTATTTCTATGCAACAAACTATCATCTGGAGTACTTCTTAGAGAGTCGTCGACATAATACTCGGAATGTCATGCAGCAAACGTCAAACCAAGAATTGATAGACTACAATATTCAGAGAGACAAAATAAAATAAAATCAAGTAAAATAAAATCAAGATTTGAAATATTACCTTGTTTCAGGCTGCCCCCGGTTGATTCTTCAGTCTCCTTTTGTGCCTCTTCCAGATTAGGTTTCTCAAGAAAAGAAGTTGTAGTCCCAGAAGAATATGCATCATTCATAGCAGATCCAAAACTACCAAAGGTCAAGTGGGAGTAGTTAGCAGTATGAACTTGTAGTGCTCAGGAATTACAACAGAAGGTGCATTCGCCTCAGAAGGAAACCCTCCATCATCCTTGTTCACACTTAATTGTCGCAAGTTTCGGGTGACGAATATAACTGAAGAACCAACTTCGTCAACTGCAACACCAACAGGGTAAATAAGATTCAAGTGTCATTGATATTATTTCTAGAGAATTATTTAAACTATAATAGACCATCCATTCTAGAATACTGCAACAGAAATTATATCGTGAGAAATATGTAGCCTTTGGGGCCAATATCCTAGCTCCAAACACTTTCGTACTTCTCAGTTTCATATATCTAACAGTTGCCCATATCATATAAGCACTAACATAAACTTTCCAAATTGAGAGATGTTAGACATGATGGAGTGCATGTTATAGAAGAAACTTTTTTCATTCTAAAGAAGGAAAGAAACCTTCATGACGTTCGAAATCATGAGCCTCAGATTCGTATGTTCCCATGTTTTTATACAACTCATTATCAAACTGTGATGCACCTCTTGAAACATCTTCTGGAATCATTCTTCTCTGGATATAGAAACAGAACCATCATCATTTCCTCCAGAACTCTCAAAGTTATCATCATCTTCCTCTTCTTTAACCTCCACATCTTCATAGTTAGCATTGTCATATGATACACTGGATGCTTCAGGATGCAACTCAGTGTCAACAGGATGTTCTGAAAATGGTATCACACTTGGAGCAGCTGGCTTCTCGATGGAAGGCCAATAATCACTGGTGGCAACATGCTGAACCGATGGAACTTCGGCTTGATTTACTTTGGAAGCATGATCTTTTTGAGTAGATGGGTAACTCAGTAGTAATCCGAATACACCATATATTTTCTTTATTCTTTTCTTTACATTTTCTAACCGTAAGGATCTATCAGGGACTTAGTTGCCTTACAGTCCATTGTAAGTTCATTTATGAATGAAGAGAAGTTTATCTTGAGGCATTATTATTGAACTTTTCAATCTTGCTCGTGATACATAATGGATTTTGTGGAACATTCTGAAATTTTGAAACAACGACAGCCAAAGATGACACACACATTACCATGTGTATTTTATAGTACATGCCATAACGTAAAACGCATTGATCCAAAGCAACAGTATTAGGGAGTCTACTAATTTCATCACTGCAAGGTCTGTCATGGCATAACCATATATCCTATCTCCAGCTACCCAACTATTGAAGTACAATTACCTAACTTTCAATTTCAAAATCATGATATTGATATATTTTGTTAAAAAATAACTTAAAACACATGTTTCATTGATGCATCAGGTTAGATTAAACTAAAAACAGAGTATTAAATACTCTTCCAGTTAAAAAACAAAATAAATGAACCAAAAGTCAACATAGAAACATTACCATCCAAATATTCAAACAACCAAACACACAAGTCAATATCACAAAATCAACATACCAATAGTTCCCAGCTCCCACCTTTTTCACCATATCAACTGACCAAACGTAAAAGATAAAACCCATTTCCAGTACATTACCTGGCTTGAAGAAGATGGATAAGCCGAAGTCAATTTCTTTGGGAGGCGAATTCTCCTTCTTGTTCGCAAACAGAAAGTTCTCCGGTTTCAAATCCCGATGAATCACCCCTTTCTTGTGGCAGAGCTGCACCACCTCCACAATCGTCCTCATCACCCCAGCCACCGCTCTCTCTGTGTAGTGTCCCCTAGCAACAATCCTATCAAACAGCTCCCCACCCTCACACAGCTCCATCACCAAATGCACAGCGTTCTCGTCCTCACAGGCCTCCCTGAAGCTCATTATGCTTGAATTAGTGGGCAAATGCTTCATTATAGCCACTTCCCGCCGCACGTCCTCCACATCCACCGCCGTCCGCAGCTTCCGCTTGCATATGGACTTGCAGGCGAGCAGACCCCTCGTCTCCCGGTCAATGCAGAGGTAGGTGACCCTGAACTCGCCGCGGCCGAGCTCACGGTCGATTAAGTACCTGTCCCCGATGTTCTCCTTCTTCAGGTCGGTTAAGACGGTGATGGCTTTCTTGACGGTGCCGGACAACTTCTCCTTCCGGCGGTGATCGTGTCCGGAGTAGTTGGAGGACTTGACGTCCTCCCTCGCAACGGTTGCCGGAGATCTGCAGCAGTTCCCCATCGGAAAACCAGATTTGAAAGTGACAGCTTCAAATTCAGCTCAGCCCAAAGAAAAAAAAAAACACACACACACACACCAAATTCTTGAGTGTAGCAGGTAGGCTTTCACATGATTGGAGAGTGGAAAGCCCATCTCCATTGATAATGGAGTGGATTTCAAGTTCAGGGGCTACAATGTGTTCAACACAGGAAAAAGTGATTCAGTGTAGTGTGTGAAAGGGAAAAGTTTTGTTCTTTTTCCTTTTTCACTCTGCAATTAGTGGTGGGTACTAGGGCCGAGCATGAGACTCGGAGAACTTCGAACCGTTCCAAAAAACCAAACCGAAATCACTTCAAATTGAAAAGTAATCGTTGACTGTTTGAATTTCTCTGAACCGAAAAAATAATTGGTACGGTATTGGAGATTTCTAAATATCCGTACCGGGAACCGAACCGAACCCTCCCATACCGTATCGAACCGAAGAACCGAAATTAAGAACCGAATTGTAACATTAGATGTGTTATTAATATATTTTAGAGGAAATAGTTATTTTCACCTCGTTCTGAAGTCACACTAAGTTTTTCACACCACCCAATAAAGAGCTAAGTTTTTCACCCCAAAAAGTACGAAGACATATGCGATGAAACATGCGCTAAATATGCGACAGGTATGAGCATGGGCGAGAAAATTATGAGTTAAATTATGCGACTGTTCTAC